TTGGTATACCATCTGTTCCTGGGGCCTTATTTTTTGCCATTTCCTTCAAAGCAGCCTGAACTTCTTTCATCACCATAGGCTCTTGCCTAAATTATGTTGTACAAGAAGAGCTCAAAATACTTAAACAAGTATATTTAAGATCAAGAAGCTAGAGAAGTCACATACTGATTCAGAATCCCTCTTTTGGAAATTGTTGTTGCTGCGTACTATTGACTTGGAACTGTCTCAGAGCTGACACTCGGGTGGGTTTTCAGAGACAGTTACTTGCACTGGAGGAGATTGTCCACTCTTCTCCAAAGGAGTTGCTGGTGGATTCAAAAGGCATGCCTCTGGGATTGAAGCGCAGTTTCTTATCAGTAAGCCACCAGAGCTCCACAGTAATTTTGGAAGTACTTCAAGGTTAATGAGCACCAAAATTAATGATTTTAAGAAGTGTTTTTGACAGGAGTGTCTCAAAGTCAAGAATCCATTTGAATGAATTCTACAAGTGAAGGACATATTTCTGACAGGACCTCAGGTCTCCTCTTTCTTTCTAAGGTTTTCCTCCTCCAAACACCCTCCTACCCATGGGATTGTCTGTAGCATATTCAGGAGCCCAGCCCCACTATGTGAGCAGAATTATTCTGTCAGTGATATGCAATAGCCACTGAACAACCATCTTCCCATAAGGATCTTGTTCAAGCGCAGGAGCTGCGGCTCACGGTTATGTCCCCAGAACTAATCTCTACATGATTTTTAGGGGAAAGTGCAATTACTCAATAGCAGATTTAAGCTTACTAAGTTAATGCAAAAGTTTGCTGTGTAATCATTAACATGTACATTAAGTGAACAGTTTTGAATACAGCCAAGAACCTTGACTTATATCGCTAGTACATCTTCAAGCTTTTCCTTACTCCCAACTATGTTGTTGTTATATAATTGTCAGAGTAGAACTGGCCCGTAGGGATTCCAAGGCTGTAACATTTTGGAAACACATTGGCAAGCTTGTCTTCTAAGGAGCCTCTGGGTGGGTTCGAACTGCTAACCGGTTGGCTCCCACTTGGGTGCTTAAGCATTTGCATTACCCAGGGAGTCCCGACTACCTGTTGTTGTGTGCCATGGAGTCAACTTCAACACAGAGGGGCACTACAGGACAAAACAGAGTAGCCTCACAGGATTTCAGAAGCTGTCACTTTGTGGAAGCTGGTAACCTGGAACTGCTGGTCAACCTTCTGATGAGCAACTGAACACTTACCCACTATGGCACCAAGCGGAGAAGTGCTTACCTTGCTTTCTGTATGGGTGTGTACAGCAAAGCAGAAAAGAGTGGAAGGTTTGGCATTTCCTTCAATCATAAACTCCGCAAAGGCTGCAGCATGGCCCTCTATGGGCTGTGAAACCTTTCTGTCAACCGAGTAGAGCTGCATTGCCCCAACCACATGATTTTGCTAAGAAACAGATATTGGGTAATGAGAAGGAGAGACAAGATATGAACATAGACAACAAGTAATTCAGAACACAAATGATCCTCAAAGTCTCAAACATTGGTATATGCCTGCAAATACTATACATTCCATGTAAAAACCATGCTATAACTCTGAATTTAAAATGGAGAGATGGCTATAAACACAAAGGGAGAAAGCGAGATAATGAAATAAGCTAGAGATCCATTTTGTTAACGACAATGTTTGCATGTGTGTATTCTTCTAGCAATAACTGGGAAGAAAAACCTCAAAAAGCTAAGAGTAGTCAAGTCTGGGAAATGAAATTATGGGCTAATTTTGAATTTTTTTTTGTGTGTTTTTAAAAGTTTGTTAATAATATATTTATATTTTATATACTTAAAAGAAATAATGAAAGCTGATAGCTTTAATAATTTATACTTTCTTTTCTATATTTATCATTTTTGTAAATTTATAAATCACATATTTTTATAGCCAAGAATTTCTGTTAATTTATATCCAACATCAAATGTGCAAAAAGCTAAGCCAGTGGAGTGTGGAAGAATCACATCACACTCCTACAATTGGTACCAAACTGTCTGCCTCACAATCATGAATAAAATTTAATCCTTTGTCTGTTCCCTGTCTGACCTGAAAAGATATCTTTCATCTCCTGAAAAGGAGAAAACAAGGGCTTCAACCTTTTTCTTTGAAAAAGATTTTCCTACTGTGCTTTTCAATTACACAGACTTGAGTGAATGTTACTACACAGAGTACTGACACCTGCTACAAAATAAATGAACCTTGAAACCATAATGCTGAGCCAAAGATTCAGCTATCAAGGACCTCATATTGTTTGACTCCACACATAAAATACAGAATATGTATTTTACATATTCTAATGTCTACTGAGACAGAAAGTAGATTAGTTGTTGCCAAGGACTAATGTGGAGGGATAAACAGAACTGGTCAGTAAATAAATAAAACAGAAAAATGAACAAGAATATTTTGAAAGGAAGATAAAAAGAACAGGGAAAACCTCAGTCTCCAAAGAGACTATTTGAGAGAATATTTTTCTTTAACATTTCATTTGCATCTCTGTGCTAAAGAAGATTGAAACCAGTCCAAGATAAAAGGCAGAACAGACTTCCGGTAGGACGTAGACTAGTTAAACTGGGGGACCTGCCTCTCTGCTGCATGGTCACATAGAAAAGGAGAAAATAAAATATATAGAGCAGCTGGAGGAAGGACAGCCAGAGGAGCCTGAAGTTAGGGGGGGAATTACAGCATGTAAAGACAAAGGACACAAGAGAGAGGGATTCTGTGGAGAAATTGGCTCCCAGGTGGGGCTCAGACTCCACAGAAAGAGAAGGAGACAAAGGAAATACCATTAGCATTTTGATGACAACTGGCCGTGGACAGGTCAGCAGGCTCTTAGCTCCCCACTACAAGTAGACGAGACCCCAGTGAACCTCCATCTAGACTGGCAGGATGCAAGGGCACATGGAATGATGCCATTTAGCACCATCCTGAGCATGGTGAAGACATTCCCCATGCTCAATAGTTCCTCTGATTGGGGAGGTGCATACACAGAGAATGGAAACATGATTATCTTTAGACCACTGACATAATCAGACCCTGGGTGTCACAGTGAATTGGGTTCTCACCCCGTGAATCTGCTCAAAAGTAGAAGCTGGTAAAGGGACATTTGCGGCCAGAATGTAAAGTTATATTATCACAGGAATTCATTGAAGGACACCAGATCTTTTAAGCACAGAAAGCCACGTTATTCAGAGATGCAAAGATCCAGAAACTCAGAGAGCGGTGGGTTCTTGGAGGATGTGGATCCTGCAGAGGGGTCTCCCAAAGAGGAGTTGGTGGGATCCAGCCACAGGCCTGTGAGTTGGCAGGGTAGCTTCTTATTGCTGGCCCACTAGAGCTCTCCAAAGGTAAAATAACATAGGGAAACACAGAAGGGAAGAAATACTAAGGTTCAGAGAGAGCTTCTGGTGCATAGATTCATGAATTTAGAGGTTCACTGACCCAGACAGTTTGCTGAGTGCAGCAAGAGAGATATAAAACTCTGTCTGCCTCGTCAGTGCACCTGATTCTAAACTACCTCCATTATGCACCTTATGACATATCAGACTAGAGTGTCTACGTATTTCATCAGAGCAAGGTTCAGCACATACCCCACCTTTCAAGTATTAGATATCAACCATCACCAATCCCCGTGGCTGTAACCAACAGCATTGCACAGAGTGAACAGATAACTGCAGACACCAAATCAGGTATCACACACATGTTAGAAGAAATAATTCTTTTTTTAAAAAAATCTATAATAACAATGTCATTATAATGTCCTAGAAACAGTAGACAAACACCAAATCCCACAACAATACAAAACAAGGCATCATCAAAAACATAATGATCAAAGCACAGAGTGGATCACTTGGAGACAAGGGCTAATGGAATTCTCTGACAGGAAATTCCAAAGAATGAAGATCAAGTGCAAAACGGAAGAAGGAAAAAGTATGAAGGACTGAAGGAGTCCACAAGCAAAACTCTAGAAGAATTTTTTAAAAATCAATACAAAATCAAGGAAATATTAGAAACCTTTGAAAAATAAGAAACAACAGCTGATAAGATCAACATTTCCAAAGTGGCCAATATGTTGGAAGGATAGAAGAGCAGAATTTAATAGATGGAACACAGAATCAGTGAAACAGAATATAAAGTCCTCAGCATGGACCTGCTAAAGGAAAAAGCAGAATCAAGAAGGAGGGAAAAGTAAAAAGAAAACCATAATTATGTGGGATACCATAAAAAAAGAACATAGGAATAACTGAAATTCCAGAACAGAAAAAACAAGAAGAAAAAACACAACACACAGAGAAAATAATGGAAGAGTTACTAGAAGAAAACTTTCTAGGTATCATGGAAAGTGAGAAAATATATATATACAAGATGCTTGGCTCCACAGTCAACACTCTTGGCACCAGTAGCTAAGAAATGAAAAGATGTGTTGCGATGAGAAAGTCTGCTGATAGGGACCTTTCCAAAGTTCTGAAGAGCTATGGGTTCTCTCTGGAGACTAAGGTGCGTCTGATACAGGCCATGGTCTTTGCTATCACGTGTTATGCATCAGAGTTGGACAATGACTAGGGAGGATAGAAGGAGAATTGAGACTTCGTCTAACATACTTTGGACATATTATAAGGAGGGACAGGTCCTTGGAGAGGGACCTCATGCTTGGGAGGGTGGAGGGACAGCGCAGGAGAGGAAGGCCCTCTATGAGGTGGATTGATTCAGTGACTGGGGTAATCGGGATGGGTGTGTTGGAGACAGTGCGACTGGCACAGGACAGAGCAGAGTTTAGGGCTGTTGTACATAGGGTCGCTATGAGTCTCAAGTGACTCGATGACACATAACAACATATATCCAGAAGCTGAGTGAAACCCAAAAAGGATAGTCCCCTAAAGAAAAACATGAAGACACATCAGAGTTAAATTCTCCAAATTCAAAGACAAGGATAGAAGTCTGAAAACAGCTCGACAATAATGAGTTCTCCTACAAAGGAGAACCAATAAGTTTAAGTCCTGATTTCTCAGTAGAAACCATGGGTGCAAGAAGATAATGGGATGGCATATTCAAAATTATGAAGAAAAATTGTAAGAAATAAAAAAAAACCTAAATAAAATTCTAAAGAAAAACACTACCAACCAAGAATCCTGTACCCAGAAAAATGTTCCATCAGCTATGATGGAGAAATTAGGACATTCTCAGAAAAGCAGAAACTAAAGGAGCTTCTGAAAACAAGAGTAACTTTGCAAGAATTACTAAAGGAAGCACTTCACACCCCAATGGATAGATCAAAGTAACTAGCAGGACTTTGAATTGAGAGAGAGTTGAGTACATGAAGTGATTGAGGTAAAGTTATGCTGGGATTGGGAAATTAAGGTGCACTTGGTTGGAAGGTACAGCAGAGTGGAGACTTTTAATTCCAAGATCATGGCAGAACATTTAAAGTTCATTGCTAGGACTGTGATGGCTCAGGAGGACAACATGAAGGTACAGACAGGAGCTGAAACAGAAACCTCACCCTAGATGAGCTCACAGAAAACGCTATGAGAAGTCATGCTGCGCCAGCAAGAAAGGTACGAAACCTGCTGAAGAATCTATGACATAAAAATGATGTGAAAAGTAAGTTTTCTGATGTGAAAGAACCAGGCAGATCCATGCAGGGCCATTAAGGCAGTTTGTGTCTCTATTTGTTTTCTTTGTTGCATCCATATTTTTATGTTGTTGTTGTTGTTATGTGCCGTCAAGTCCCTTGCGACTCATAGCGACCTTATGTAAACTCTGCTCTGTCCTGTGCCAATCACACTGTCTCTGACACTCCCATCCCGACTATCCCAGTCACTGAATCAATCCACCTCATAGAGGGCTTTCCCCTCCTGCGCTGTCCCTCCCCCCTCCCAAGCATGATGTCCTTCTCCAATGACCGGTCCCTCCTTACAACATGTCCAAAGTAGGTCAGATGAAACCTCAGAATCCTTGCCTCCAAGGAGCCACCCGGTTTAACCCTTTCCAGGATCAATCTGTTTGTTTTCCTAGCAGTCCATGGTATTCTCAATACTCTTCTCCAGCACCACAGCTCAAAGGCATCAATTCTCCTTGGTCATTGTCCAATTCTCTGATGCATAACAAGTGATTGCAAAGACCATGGCCTGTACCTTAGTCTTCAGAGAGACACCATTGCTCTTCAGTACTTTGGAGAGGTCCCTAATAGCAGACTTTCCCATGGCAATGTGCCTTTTAATTTCCTGGCTACTGGTGCCAAGAGTGTTGACTGCAGAGCCAAGCAAACTAAAGCTGTGAACAATCTCAATCTCTTCACCATCCATCCTGATGCTGCCAATTGGTCCAGTGTTGAGAATCTTTTTCTTCTTGACATTGAGCCTCAATCCATATTGGAGGCTACAGTCCTTGACCCTCTGCAGCAA